TCCTCCTATAACTAGCATACTAAACAAGCTGGATTTGAGAGGATTCAAGCAGAAAGCAACTTCGTTCTGTCTTATGACTGGCCCTTTAAAACTGCTCTCTCTCATCTTTCTTCCCCACTCATGGTTTTCTGGTTACTTTCAGGTATTGAAAAGTTCAGTCCAATCTAACATCAAAACTTCACTTTCTTATCAAAATTAGTTCTCCCTTCCACTAGTGTGGGCCACAGCTAGACTTGAAACCATATGGTGAAGAGGGATTCATAGTCATTTCTTCTCTTTGTTTTACCTCCTCTTGCACAAGCTGGGCCCAGGAGAGAGAGGAGATCAAAGAGAAAAAGGCAGGGTCTTCAGTGGCTCTTGCAGTTGTAATCACAGAGCCTTCTGTGAGTGGCGGGTCTAATGGGTGTTTCCCTGGTGGGTGCTCTTGAGAACTTGTTTAGAAGCTCTTCCTCTCTGCGATATCCTACTTACTATAGCATTGCTTGGACAATACCCACGTCAGCTAGGCTCTTAAAATTTCCCCCTTATCACCTGGATTCCAGCAGACCACCCCACACAAGTGTCCCCAATGTTGGAATCATCTAGAAGGGCCTCTTAGAGTCTATAAGATAACTCAAATCCAACTCTCTTCCTCCTGTTCTCAGGGCACAAATTTCCCTGTTGTGTCTGTAAGTGCAACTTGTTCCCTCTGGGACCCACTGGCTTTGCCCTCCTGCCTGAGGTGCCACCAGCCAGCCTTTTACTAAATGCTTTTCTCCAGTAGAATCAGAAGGCAGCCTCTGTCTCTTCTCAGCCTGTTTTTGCAAAGCCTGTTGGTGTGTGAAGGTCTAATCATGGCAGAACCGGCTGTAGGCCGCTCTCTGTGCAGGTCCTGCCTAGACAGTCTTGTATCTCACTTAGGACGTGCGTGAGTCGGGGGAGACGTAAACCTATTGTTCTCAGCTTTGGATCCTCAGCCAAAACCCTGAGAAAGGAAGAGGCCTATTTTAACATGCTGTTACATTCCTTTAAAAACATCAGATACCGTTTCGTTTCGTTTTAATTAACTGTTCTAAGCTTACAGTGCTTGATTTTGAAGTCCCAGAAGAGATGTTTTAGTAAGCTAAGAAGTGGATCACTGAAACCTTGGCATTTTGCAGATGAGAAACCAAAATGCAGGAAAATTGATTGACTCACGGAAGATCACACAGCTAGTAATGACTGACCAGGTCTCGGCCACAGGTCTTTGGCCTCCAAATCTTATGCCCTTCCTACTACATTCTCCTGCCTAACATGCTTCTCCTTAAAGAGGACCAGAGACATTTGCTCCTGAAATAAAGCTACCTATAATGTAAGAGTCAAATGAAAATAATACGTTCTTTTAGTGATTTTCAAAAAGTCTGTGAACTGGAAGCTGTGATTATGGATGATTTTAATTTTTTGACTTACCTGTATTTTCTATGATGATCATATATTTCTTTTACTCTAAGGAAGTAAAATATATCAAATTATTCTTTTTAAATATACGTTTCTATTATAGGAAATAATTCCATATAAAGTAAAACCCAAATTGCAGTTTCTCGTAAGTCCACTGGAGTAGAATAAGACCTGCGTTACAGTCCTGCAGCTACTTAACTGGATAACCTTGAGTTCATCACCCATCTCTTTGGGAATCATTTCCTCAGACGTAATGTGTGCAACTTGGACTACAGCAGGGCCCCCTTTATCTGTGGGGGATACATTGCAGTACCCCTAGTGGATGCTTGAAACCACAGATAGTACCAAACCCTACATACGGTCATCCATCCCTTAACACCAGGGATACATTCTGAGAAAAGTGTCATTCAGCAATTTTGTCATTGTGCGAACATCACAGAGTGTGCTTACCTAGATGGCATAGCCTACTACTAACATCTAGGCTGTATGGTACCAATCTTATGGAATCACCGCCATATATGCCGTCCGGCGTTGACTGAAACATCGTTACGCAGCACGTGACTGGATACTATGTTTTTTCCTACACGTAACCTATGATAAAGTTTAACTTATAAATTAGGCACGTAAGAGATTAACAACATGAACTAATAATAAAATAGAACAGTTATAACAATATACTGTGGTAAAAGTTCCCATAGGTCTTAGCAACCTCAGCATACGATTGTTTTTCTTAAGTTGAGAACTATCACTTTTTCACTTAAAGGAAACACTTTGAGCTTCTCTTTGGCATACCTGAATTGCCAGCATCACTACGCTTGTGCTTCGGGGCCACTATTAAGTAAAACAAGGGTTACCTGAACACAGGCACTGTGATACTGTGACAATAGTTCTGACAACCAAGGTGGCTACTAAGTGACTGACAGGCGGGTGGATACGCTGTACAAAGGGATGACCAACATCCTGGCCAGGACAGAGTGGGATGGCGTAGGATGGAGTGAGATTTCATCATGCTACTTAGAATGGTGAACAATTTAAAACTTATGAACTGTTTCTTTCTGGAATTTTCCATTTAATATTTTTTGACCTCTGTTGACCACAGTACTGAAACCGTGGGAAGTGAAACCATGTATAAGGGAGGACGACTGTATATAAAATCTAAGATATTTTCCAATTCAGAAAATAAAAATTATTTCTGAAAAGCCTTGTGAGGAGCAATTATGAAAACTTACATGATAAGTCTCAAAATATAAAATTCCATGTAAATTTATGGTAGTAAAGGACCATGATTTCTCCTCATCCTCTAACATGGGCCTTCCAGTCAAGTGAGATGAGCCCTGTCAGTTTATCAAGGCGCTCTGCCTCTGTATTTGCCCTCGAGGTCTCCACTCGTCCTCAAGCCCCAGCTGCTCCAAGAAGTCTCGCTGACCCCTCCAGCCCTCATTGCCACCCCTTCCAGTTCCTACAGACTCTGAGCCTATACACTGTCCCCTTCAGCTCACCATTTGGTGCTCTTGGGTGTTCCACATTGTGATTCTTTGTGCATTAGATTTTCTTCTCAGCACATTGCCTGTAGACGGCAGCCATGCTTGCTGCCCCTGTTTCCCCGACTTGTGCCAAACACAAGCTGAGCACACAGGGCATCCTCCATACATGTTAGTTAGTGAGAGGTGTTTGTTCGAAGGAGGAACTCAAGATACATGTTAGAGACTCAAGATATGTGGGGTCCCCAGCTGTCTCTGGAGCAGGGTGCCCTCAACAGCTAGTCTGAGTCTAGAAGAAAATGAAAGTGATCCCTTTTTCTCCAGCTCCTTTTGGGTCTTTCGCCTCCCTGGCTCTAGGCAAGGCTGACTCTGGGTTGCTTTCTGCTGCTGTCACTTCATGGAGTTGGACCCACGTTTTGGACCTCTTCTGGAAAAGGGATCATGAGTGTCTCCTTACGCTGCTGGCTCCAGGCGACCTTCCTCTGGCCAGGCCAAGGGAGTGGAGTCGGCCAGAGCACTGAACTATCTGGGGTATGCCCTGGGCCTCTTGGGTGAGAAGGCCAAAACACTCATGGTCAGCTCTGCTGATCTCCAGTCTCTCCCAGGACCTGGGGAGAAAGGAGGAAGAGCCGCTCTCTTACGGCTCTGTTGGCCTGTCTCTTCCTTTCCTCTCCTACATTCCTCTCCCACCATTCACGCCTCCTCCTCTCCCCATGCCTCCTGGTTCTCCTCTCCCTAAACACTGTCCCGCTGGCTGTCTCTCTGACTTTCAGCTTTAATTTTCTCACCTCTGTTATCTCCTCTTCTTTCCCACCCAGGCCCAACTCTCACCCTCTCTATCTTGTCACCCTACCTTTCTGTCTCTGGTTATTTCCACTGTCTTCTCTGCCCTCAGAGCCAACAAGGGGAGAGGAGGTGATCGCCACTCTTGTGCACCAGGCGGGGAACTAAGTGATTTCCGTATATTTTTCTCATTGTAAGAACTAGACACTGTTATCATTTTAAGATGCAGAATCAGGGGCCGGCCCTGCGGCCAAGTGGTTAAGTTCACATGCTCCCCTTCGGGGGCCCAGGGTTTCTCCGGTTCAGATCTTGGGTGCGGATGTGGCACTGCTCATCAAGCCATGCTGAGGCGGCATCCCACATGCCACAACTAGAAGGGCCCACAACTAAAAATGCACAACTATGTACCAGGGGGCTTTGGGGAGAAAAAGGACAAATTAAATCTTCAAAAAAAAAAATACAAAATCAGAACAATTGCAGCAGGCTGCAACTCAGAAGCTGGTCAAGGGTCCTGACAGGAGAGCCGTCTCACACCCTGTCCCCTGGAACTGGCTTGGAGGTGGTGGTGGCCCTGACATCAGGGTGAGATGTCAGAGGAGTTGGAGTTGTTGGAAGTAGGCCACATATGCTACGCCGCACAGTTCTGAGCTCTCTGATAAGCCCTTCCGAGCACATTGCCTCAAGTCACACATCCAAAGTGAAATGTGGGTGTTTTAATCACTGAAGAGAATCCTTAATACTGCTCCTTCAGCACATAGCTGCCTCTCCCGCGCCAGGAACCGCAGGGAGCCTATTGCTTCCCGTCCTGAACTGGTTCCAGAAGCGTTAGGTGATGCTCAGTACAATTTTCAGTTGTTATCATATGAGGCCCTTAGAGACGCTTCTCAATTCTAGCAATTAGCCACACAGGGGTCAACCAAGAGTTCTCAGCTCTAATTAACAGCTGTGTTGAATCTGGGACACATACAATTCCTTTGGGGATACGCTCTTCAAACAGAAACAAAACCAGAATATCAAGCTTTTTCCTCCTTATCGGAGGCTATGAAGTCTGAAAATTATTGCTGAGGGAATTCTTAGTAAAAATCCCAGGAAGCTGAGCAGCTTCTGGGCTAAATGTTTGAATTTAAAGGTAAAAATATCATCTGAGCTCCACCATGAAATGATCCAGCGGGGCTCAGGAGGCTGCAGGCAGTGCTGGGGGATTAGGTGCCTCCCATGCACGCCCAGAGCCCTGCTACACCCAGCGGGCTACATGATAGCACCACATGAATCAAAGGCTTGCTCCCTGGCTGCAGAAGGAAAAGGAAAAGGAACAGGATACTTTGTGCTGGGAGCCCTGCCCCAAGCGGGAACTATGCTGATGCCTGCTCAAGTTGTTCTCTGGGTATGCTGGCTTCTTGCCCTGCCTGACAGCTGCAGGAGTTCTGTAAGAAATCCGAGGGAGAATTTCCTTTGCAGCCATGACTGAGAACCCAGGATCAAGAGCTTTGCAGACAGAAAAGACATTACCCTTCAAATATCCCAAGTCATCTATTAGAGTCAACAAGCAGCCGGCAAAAAGCAGGACAGCTGGCTGTCCAGCCCTGGTTGGAGAAAATGTGTTCCACTGAGAACTAGCCAGTTGAATTTTTCTTTACTGACTGAGAGTGAATGAGCAGAGGCATTTTAAAGTAAGTATATTTTAATACTGGAATGTTTCAAATGAATAGAAATGTATAGAACAAGACCTATGGCCCCAGATAAATAAACGTTAACTTAGTGCCATTTATACTTCACATCTTTTTTTAAATAATTTACATATATGTTTGAACATTGCCCTGCTTTCCCTGGCCCCACTCCCCACTCCTCACTAGTCTCCTGAGATTGGTGTGTATCTTCCTGTGTGTTCACATCCAAGGGTGTATACGTTTATTACAGGTGGCAGTATCCAGAAGCAACAATATCCTTCCCTCTGTTTTGGAAGTGTATGTAAGTGGTATCATTCTGTACCTCTCCTTTTGCAACATGCTTTTACTTCTCTCAACATGTTTCAGAATCATCCACATTAGTACATGTAAACCTAGCTCATTCATTTTAACTTCAGAGAGATATTTTATTATCTGACTGTATCAAAATGTGTTTGTCCATTCCCTTATTGATAGACATTAAGTAATTTAGTTGTTTTTGAATCACAAACATTGCTGCAATGAATAGCCTTGTATGGGTCTCTTGGGGAACATATGGGAGCTTTTTTTTCTCTAGGGCAGCGGTTCTCAAAGTTTTACTCTCAAGATCCTTTTATACTGTTAAAATTATTAAGGACCCCAGATAGCTTTTGTTTATGTGGATTACGTCTGTTGATATTTATGGTGTTCAAAATTAAAAGAAAAATTTTGAAAATATTTATTTATTAATTCATTTAAAAATAACAATAGTAAACCCATTACATTTTAACATAAATTAGATGTTTTTAATGAAAAATAACTATATTTTACTAAACAAAACAATTAATGAGAAGGTCATAGTTTCACATTTTTGCAAATCTCTTTACTGTCTGGCTTACTAGAAGTCAGCTGGATTTTCATATCTGCTTCTGCATTCAATCTGTTGCAATATGTTGTGTTGGTTGAAGTATATGAAGAGAAACAGGCCTCACACAGATATGTAGTTGGAAAAGGGAGGAAAATTTTAATAACCTTCTTAAGTAATTTTGGATATTCTTCATCAAAGATACTAAAGAAAAACTCAACAAGCAATGGTTTCTTAAAGGTTAGTTGCAACATGGAATCTGAAATCATATCAGTGAACTTCTCATACTCTGTTGTATCAACGCCCATGGATTTTTCTTGGTCGTTTGGAAAATATCGGTTCACTGAATTTTTTGTGTCTTATAAATGTTGACAGATTTCAGCATACAATGTGAAAAAAGCACACTTGTTTATATCACCACTGATTCAATCATAAAAGCTTTTAAAAATCGGGAAACTGTCAAGGTCATGGTAGTGGACACAAGTTTTCCAAAATTCTAACTTTTGCTTGAAAGCTCAAAATTTATCATTGGCAGCAGATGCTGTCAGTTGCTTTCCTTGAAGTGACAGGCGCTCACTTTGTTCATTTGTGAGAGCATGCCTGCCAAAATCCGAGTCTGAATAACCATAGCTTGTCAGTCTTCCTTTCAAGTAGAAATGGTGTTCATCAAAAAAGCAGCTAGTTCAGATCATAGCTCAAAAAAAATGCACAAGTGTTTTTCCTCGAGAGAACCATCATGCCTTGGTGTGCAGAAACGCTTTGTGTGTATTTCCCACTTCATTGCACAGAATATTCATATTGAAAAGACATGTACTCAAGAGTTGAGATTTAATAAGATTTATTAATAATTTTTAATGCTTCATCAATAAAATTCTTAAGTAAAACCAGATGATGATGATGATGGTTTTACTTCAAGTGCCTGACAGTAGAGACTACAATGACAACCAAAACATTTTGGTACCATAGCCTTGATTTGTGCTAAATCACCAACAGTTTTATCCACAATTGCTTTTGTATCATCAATGCAAATAAAAACACATCAAAAAAGGCAAATAGTACTGAGTACAGATCTAAGAGTAGAGCTTCCTGGTGTAGGATGTGTACAGGGTGTTTTCAAGTCTACCAGCTAGCACTAAATTGCTCTTCAGAGAGCTCGTGCTCTCTTAGGCGTCTGTCAGCAGTGTGTGAGTTCCTATTTCTCCAACACCTGGCCAACATGGAACTCGTCTTTTAAATGTGATTTTGGTGTCTTTGTGCAGACATTTTAAATTCTGTTTTGAAATATACCCAGAGCATTCTGTTCTTAACAAGGCCTGCCCTCAAGAGAAACTATTTTACCAGAGCTAACTGACTGGGGTTTTACCAGAGACTAACCAACCTGAAGGAAGGGGAATACCCAACCCCAGCCCTCTCCAGGCTTCCACATGGGTGAAGAGAAATATTCAAGTCCAGCCCCCCCTACCCTTCCTGTCTCACCTAAGGGAGTGGGGGAGGGGAGCAAAACAAAACTGAGAAGCGCTGGTGAAGGTCACAGCCCAGGGGCATGGGCTCCCTAAGCAGACCTGTGCATAGGGCTATGGAATACTCCCTTCCCCCACTGGGCCACCACATCAATAAAGCCTCTTCTAATAGCAGGGGGACACCGCCAAAAGAATTGTGTATGTCAGACATTATTTAAGAAGTCTCCAGGGAAAACCAAAGACAACAGGGGAAACAGAAACAGACACCAGAGGAAATTTTAGCCCCTGACACCTACAGTTATGGCAAACTGTAAACACAGCTTGAACCCTAGCCATAGTGTAAATGTAATAGAAAACCTCACACTAAAGGCCTATTCTCCTCAGTTCCTTTTATCCATATATCACATCTGCCTTTCAACAAAAAATTACAAGGCTTATTAAAAGCCAAAAAACACAGTTTGAAGAGACAGAGCGAGTATCAGAACCAAACTCAGATATGGCAGAGATGTTGGAATTATCAGACTGAGAATATGAAACAACTATGATTAATATGTTACAATAATTTTGTTTCTATGATTCTAATTCTTACCCATTTTATATGTTTCTTGCATAGGACCTCTAGGACAATCTTAGAAATGATGATAATGGTCATCCTTGTCTTTTTTCCCTCCTAACATTTCACAATTGAATACAATGTTTGCTGTAGGTTTTTGGTCAATACTCCTTTTCAGGTTAGGAAGTCTCCTTCTATTTCTAGTTAGCTAAGAGTTTTGTGGGTTTTTTAAAAATCATGAGTGGATGTTGAATTTTACTGAATGCTTTTCCTGTATCCTCTGAGATGATCATGTGGTTTTCCTTTTTTAATTTGTTAATGTGTAGAAATGAAATAACAGATTTTTTCTTATGGTAATTCATCATTGGATTTGTGTTATAAACCCAACTAGTTGCAATTTTAAAAAATTGCACTCCTAGATTTGGATTGCTATTATTTTGTCTAGGATTTTTTACATTTATGTTCAAAACCAAGATTGACCTATATTTTCCTTTCTTGTGTGGTCATTATCTGGTTTTGGTATCAACAATATACTAACCTCCTAAAATGAGCTTTCTAGTTTTGAGTTCATTTTCTAGAAATGAACTCTCCTGTAAAAAATATGAACCTCATGCTTTCTTTGTGATAGATTTATTCCATTTCTTTTATGATTATAGATCTAGTAATATTTTCTATTTCTTCTCAAGTTAAATTTCATAATTTATCTTACAAATTCTTGTCATTTTTTTCCAAATTTATTGGCACTAATTTGGTCAAAGAATTTTTTATTGTAATCATAGTTATATCTTTATATCATTTCCAATATTATTTGTACCTTTTCTTTTTCCGTTGATCAACCTTACCAGAAGTTTATTTACTGTATTTTATTGAATCTTAGATATCATCAATTGTAAAATATTTCAGAGAGGTTAAAATGTGACAAAAGTGTCTAAAAGAAGATAAAATGTTACCTTCTTAGCCTCTTCAAAGGACTAGCATTGTTATAGTGTTTGTTTTTCATTTCATGAATGTCTGTTGTTATCTTTATTGTTTTTTCTTTTTTTAAAATATATATATGTGTTGGGGCCAGCCCAATGGCATACTGGTTAAGTTCATGCGTTCTGCTTCAGCAGCCTGGGGTTCGTGGGTTTGGATCCTGGGCGCAGACTTATACATCACTCATCAAGCCATGCTGTGGCGGCATCCCACATACAAAATAGAGGAAGACTGGTACAGATGTTAGCTCAGCAACAATCTTCCTCAACAACAACAACAACAAAATATATGTATGTGTGTGTATGTGAGTGTTAAAGCAATAAATTTTCTTTTTATGCTGTTTGCACTATGAGTTTGATAAAGAATATTTTCATTGCCATCCATTTTCTATGTATTTCATATTCACAATTACGTCTTCTTTGAAGAGTAAATTGATAAACATTAAAAAATATCTTTGTTGTTTATTTCTAACTTTGTCATGTTGTACTCAGAAAACATGATCTATATATAAATTCTTTATTATTTGTTAAGATTTCCTTTATGGTCTGGTACATAGTTAATATTTGTAAATGTTTCCTGTGTAATTTTATAAATGATCTTGAAAAATTATATATTCTATAATTGTTGGATATTTGTCCACTAGATGGTATTTGTCAGTTATACAAATTATCTGTATCTTTAAATTTATCTGTCTGTACTATTTTCTGTGTGAGAAGTTAAAAATCTACCAGGGTTAGTATGAATTTATCCGTTTTCCTTAGAATTTTGTCAAGTTCTGCTCTAGATATATTTTAAGGCTACGCTGTTAGGTCTGTATCTTCATCACAACTTAATTAATTCAACCATTCATTTCCTGAGCACCTGCCATGTGCCAGGCATTGTTCAAGACAGAGAAAAAAGAACATCGAATAAAACAGAGAAAATTATTCCTTTTATTATTAAGTAATGATACTCTTTATCACTAACAATACTTTGTGCTTTAACATTTACTCTGTATAGTAATAATTTTGGTGTACCAACTTTTTAAAAATGTGTATTTTCCTGGGGTTTTTTTTTCATCCCTTTCTTTTCATCAGCATATGGCAGGACTTTGCTGTTTTTTAAATCCAATCTGAGAATTGCTGACTGTTAATGGAGAGATATAATTCCTTTTATATTGGTCACCAATATATTTGATATTAATTTTAGCAAGTTATTTTGTGTTTTCTGTTTACCTTGCTCTTTCTTAGTTTCTTTTTTCCTGTCATCTGTTGTTTTGATTTTGTAAGTCTTCTTTTCTTCTCTGTTGGTTGGGTCATTATATATTATGTAGCTATACTTTCAGAGGCTTTTTTGTTTTTCTTAATATTTAACTCATACAGTTGCCTTAATAATGTTTCAAACTAACCAAGAGTTCTGCCTGCTTCCCAAACTACACAAAGGCCTTAAATTCTTTAAGTTTGGTCACCTCACCTCCCACTTGACATGTGATTCTTGACTGGTGTTTTATTTACAGTTTATCTCTACCCCCCACTAGTCTTTAATATTATTAATGCTGTTTTTACAGTTAATATTTGTGTAGAATTAATCTACATGTGTACCGGTTTGTCTCTCAACTCTTTTTTTGGGTCTCATTTCTTCTTTCTGGTTTCTGTTTCTTTCTTCTGGTTCTCCAGGAAAAAGCTATCCTAGATCTTCCAGGGACAGCCTGCGAGTCATAAACGTTTTCTCTGTTTGTCTGAAAATGACTTTATTTTGGCCTTATTTTAAAAGATACTTTAGTTATGTGCACAATTTTAAGTTAAACAGTTATTTTCTCATAGTTTTTTCTTTTTTAAATGAAAGGTATAGTTTAAAATTTTTTTTCTCCCCAAAACCCCAGTACATAGTTTTACATCCTAGTTGCAAGTCATTCTAGTTCTTCTATGTGAGACACTGCCACAGCATGGCTTGATGAGCGGTGTGTCGGTCCGTGCCCAGGATCTGAACAGGTGCACCCTGGGCTGCTGAAGCAGAGCTCACAAACTTAACCACTCAGCCACGGGGCTGGCCCCTTCTTGTAGTCTTTTAAAGATATTAATCTAGTCTTTAAGACTCTATTGTTGCTGATGACAGATCTGCTGTGAGTCTAATAGCTATTCTTTTGTAATAATATGTCCTTTTCTTTTGGTTGCTTTTGAGACTTTCTGTTTATCTCTGGTATTCCATAGTTTCCCCATCATTTGTCTGTGTGTGGAATTTTTTTCTGCCTGGTCCTTCAATGTGAGGACTTACATCTTTCTTTAAGAATGGAAAATTTTGACCTATAATCTTGAACATTGCCTCTCCCCTTATCTCCTCCCTCAGCAACTCCTATCAGAGGTAGGTAGTATCTTCTCACTGTGTCCTCTGTATCTCTTAGCTTCTCTCATGCGTTTTCCATCTCTTTAATCCCTCTGTACTGCATTGTGTGATTTATTCAAATCTGTTTTCTAGGCAACAGATTCTCTCTTTGGCTATGTCTAATATGCTGTTTAACTTGTGTTTTAAACTTTTTATTTCAGTAACAATATTTTATTTCTAAAAGATTTATTTGTATTTTAAAAACCTGCCTAGGTTTTCTTCATCATGGCTTCTTTCCTTTCTTGTATATCTTTAATCATTTGTTTCATTCAGATTTCACCAGTTTTATAAGCATGTGTGCGTTTGTGTACGCGTGTGTAAGTAATTTTATGCAATCTTACCACAAGTGTAGCTTTGTGTAACCACCACCACATTGAAGATACAGAACTGTTCCATCACCACAAGGCTCCTTCTGCTCTTTAAAGCCACACCCACTGCCCTCAGCCTCCCACCTTCTTCTTAACCCCTGGCAACCACAAATCTGTTCTCCATTTCTATAATTGTGTTATTTCAAGAACATTATATAGAGGTCGGCCCCATGGCCTAGTGGTTAAGTTCGGCATGCTCTGCTTTGGTGGCCCAGGGTTCAGTTCCCAGGCACAGACCTACACCACTCATCAGTGGCCAAGCTGTGGTGGTGACCCACACACAAAATAGAGGAAGGTTGGCACAGATATTAGCTCAGGTCAAATCTTCCTCAACAACAACAACAACAGCAACAAGAATGTTATATAAATGGAATAATTCAGTATGTAAACTTTATGATAGCTTGTTTCACTTGGCATAATTCCCTTGAGGTCCATCCAAGTTTGTGTGTATATTAATAGTTTACTCCTTTTCGTTGCTCTATGGCGTTCTATGGTAGAGGTATACTTGGTAGTTTAACCATTCACCAGTTAAAGGACAGCTGGGTCATTTTTGGTTTGGAGCTAATATGAATAAAACTGTTATGAATATTCATGTACAGGTTTTACGTGAACGTAAGTTTTCATTTCTCTGGAACTAATGCCCAAGAGTTCAATACTGGGTAATATGGTAATTGCATGTTTAGTTTCAAAAGAAATAGCCAAACTGTATTTCAGAGTGGCTGTATCATTTAATATTCCAAGCATTGTACAAATGATCCAGTTTCTTCATATCCTCACCAGCATTCTAATAGGTGTGTAGTGATATCTCATTGTTAGTATGCTTTGCATTTCTCTAGTGGCTAATGATCTTTAGCATTTTTTCATGTGCTTGTCATCTGTATATCTTCTTTGGTGAAATGTCTGTTCGTATCTTTTGCCCATTTTCTAATTGGATTTTTTTTTTTTTTTTTGCTGTTCACTTTTGAGAGCTCCTGTATATTCTAGATATAGGTCCTTGGTTGAATATGTGGTTTGCAAATATTTCTCCCAATTTGTAGTTTCTCTTTTCATTGTCTTCACAAGGTCTACTCCAGAGCAGAAGTTTTAAATTTTAATACAGCCCAATTTACCAATTTTTCCTTTTAAGAATCATGTTTTTGGTATCAACTCCTAAACATTTTAATTATGATATCCAGCAGTCTCTTTCTGATTTGCTGTGATATCTAGTTCTTAGCATACGAATTCTTCCCATTATTGTATACATGAGCTCTACCTCATGCTGGTTCATTTCTTCATCTCTCACATTTTGTGAGCTCATTTTGGGGGGCTATAGGATATTTTTTTCCCTCATCTTAGTGCCTTGAACTGTGGGAGTCACTCTACTTTGATGTTTTATATTTTTTTTTGCCAGGGCTTGAGAAATTTTATGAGTTGGACCAATTTGGGGATTTCTGTACCCTATGGGCACTAAAAGTACGGATCCCCCATCCTCATTTGGGTGGTCTAGAGTTTTTATTCTCCCATTGGAGATTTAATCCATCTCACATTAGAGCTTCTTTGCAACTTCTCTGGGCCATTGAGATAACTTTTTTTAGTTCCCTCGTCATGAATTCAATGAACCCTCTTGGTGAGGTCCCAGTTCCAACTGCCTGCCTTTCTCAAGCCCTGCATGATGCACTTTTTCTCTGTGTTGATATTCAATCCCCACTCTCCAGCCCTAAGTCCTTATATCTGGGTCGAGTATCTCACTTTTCCAGGTTACTACAGGATACTGGAGTTTACTGCTCTGATTTTGAGTTCACTTTTTGTTCCTGACATCTGTGGTTTCCCTTTCTTTTTTTTCTTTTTTCCTTTCTGTCTCTCAATCTTGACTATGTAATTAAATCTTTGTATTATTTTATACAGCATTTTAACATATTTGTAGTGAGAATTGGTTCACAATAGCTTAATATCCCATGTTGTCAGAACCAGAACACTCCACATAAGAATTTTAATCTTGTAGAAAATTACACATGATTTGAGAGGTAGAGAATGAAAAATTAAGAATGCAAAAAATCCAAAGAAGAAATAAGACAACTGTGATGTTAAAGTGACAAAAGTTTGACAGGGAAACCCCTAACGTTTCTCCACCCACTAAGGTATAGGTTTGGATGGAAAGCATCGTTTTTTAAAAAGGCTTTCTGATTGTTTCTTTCTCGGATCTCCTTTCTACCACCCTTCCCTTTAACAGACTCTTCTTGATATTCCAGGGTGTGTTGCATGTGAAGAGCTCTAGGCCGTGTCCTGAGCTTGGTGTTCTGGATACTCCTCCTCATACCGTTTCATCCCCAACAGTAAGCAGTAATTTTAGATCTCGTTCAACCTTGGCAACTGGTTTCTGATTACCCAGCCACTTCCCATGCCTGTCATGCCAAAAAGGTTGGCATAAAGTTGATCTCCTCATGGGTAAAATTTTGATAAATGGAAAGAAAAGGGTTTCCATGCAGGAGGGAATATGAGAGAATTGCCACAACTAAAAGGGCAGCAGAAAGGTCTTATGTTGTAGAGTAAAACTATTTTTTAATCCTCACATTTTGTTTTTTTTTTCAGGTCAACACACATTTTCACTTCTCCATTTTGTGTAACTGATGGTGCTCCTGGTTAAAGTCTTCCAAAGGATTCCTACTGCATTTTAATATAATTTAAATTTCTTATAGTGGCCTACAAGGACCAATAGGTTCTGGCCCCTGCCTAGTCTCCAGTTTTGTCTCTGTATGTTTTCTTTCAATACGTAGATTCAGATCTTCTCTTATTTCTAGGTATTTTTCTTGGACTATAATTTTAAAGATTAGTTCTGTTTTAACGCTTTGTTTTTATTCATCATGGACTCTCAATTATCCATATGTTGGACCTTCTATGCCTGTCTCCTTTATTTACTGCTCTGAATCAACTATAAATAAGTGGATATCACTTCAACTCAAGCATGTACTGAGTGTGTAATAGTATGCTAATATGTACCTCAGTCAGAGACACAAAAACCAAAAACCAAAAAAAGAGTTAAATATGTTGTATTTTGTTTTCTATGAGCTGTTAATCTATATATGCAGGCAACTCACAGAGAAAAAATAGCTTGATAAGAAGCAAGGGTGTCAATATGTAATTAACTGCTAAAATAAGTGTAAATATATTAGATGACATAGGATTGAATTATGTAGCCAATAACAAAAGGCTACTTGTAAAATCCAGGTTTGATAGGCTCTGAGGCAGAAATCTTGCCTTTTCCATTATTTTGTCAATGCTCACGTTGATTTTTATTTCAACACTTACTGACATTATATTCATGATTCACACTTTCTCATCTTTATACTACTTGACAAGTTTTCCCCTGGCAGATATTTGATGCTTTTTTTGTGTTTCCTCAGAATTTTGTACAAACTTCTATTATAGCATTGACTATAATAGAAGGGGCCTCTAAAATCAGACAAACCTGGGGTTGAGTCTCAGGTCTGCTTCTTACTAGCTTTGTGACCTCAATCAAATTACCTAAACTAAAGCTTCGTTTTTATCATCTGTCAAGTGGGGATAAGAATAGATTGTTATAAATGCTAAATTAGATAACGTATGCCAAGTGCTTAGGACAGTGTCTGGCACTTAGTAAATGTCAGCTCATTTTTGCAGGCACCTCTGTCTCCCCTGCTGTGCCATGGTCTCCATGAAGACAGAGACCATATTTTATTCTTTTTTGCACTTATGCACCTGACACATAGTAAGTCCTAGTAAGTTTGTTGAGTGAATTGCAACTCTGTATAATAGTCGTTTTTCTTGACCAAAGGTGGTATGCCATGTTGGTTCACTATCGAGGAGTCTTTTAAAGAGAGCAGACCCCCAAGGAGCCTATCTGTGTTCATTTGGTAGTGCAAGTTTAGGAGTAAATACTCTAGTTATTGACACTTGTACTTCTCTCTACCTATGGCCTGGGAAACTCTATTGATCTGGATTTCCCCAAAGTTCTTGTGTCCATTAATTTTTCTGGTCACCTTCTCTATTGCAGATGTGGATGCATTTTTTCTGGGATGGGTAATGATTTTTCTTTTAAATTCACTTTGAGTCATTATTCCAGAGCACACTGCATGCACCTAAAATTATTTTGCATTTGGCAACTCTGAAAAACATGAAGACTCAATTACAAACCACATTCTCCTCTTTCCTCTAGTTACTCCAATGTTAGGTTTCTCATGAAGTCTTTAAAGAGTTTAAATGAGGAAAACAACCTAGCCATCTTTCTTTCTTTCTTTTTTTGTGAGGAAGATTAGCCCTGAGCTAACTGCTGCCAATCCCCCTCTTTTTGCTGAGGAAGACTGGCCCTGAGCTAACATCCATGCCCATCTTCCTCTGCTGTATATGTGAGACACCTACCACAGCATGGCTTGCCAAGTGGTGCCATGTCCACACCTGGGATCCGAACCGGCAAACCCTGGGCCACTGAATTGGAATATGCACACTTAACCACTGCGCCACAGGGTGGCCCCCCCAGCTATCTTTCCATTTGACTTACCACAATAATTTAAATGGTCCCTTTGAAAATAATCTGTGGGTATATTTATATAAATATAGTATAGTTACGGATATATTGGCAATATATATGTGGTTGTATATATGGATGAAAAAGTCTAGAAGAATATATCTCAAAAAGTTAACAGTGGTAATCATTAGGTGCTGATATTATCAGTGTTTGTTTTTTCTTTATACTTTTCATCATAAATCCTTGTTGGGTTGGTTTCCTTTCTGCTCTCACTTTAGCTGTGACAATTCTCTCAGAGAGTCAGTGTCTTCAAAATCCTTATTCCCACTCTTTTTTAGTAATAGAACCCTTAATTTTTAGCTGAATACAGGGACACCCAGAATAAAGACTACATTTTCCAGCCTCCCTTGAAACTAGATGGAGTCATGTGTCTCCCTTCTGGTTAGTGGGATGTAATCAGAAACGTCATGAATGAATTGGAGAAGGGTCCTCGAATGGAAGATGTACACTCTCCTTCCTTTCCTTCTCCTTCTTACTGACTGAGAAGCAGATATAATGGCTAGAAGTTGAGCAGCCCTTTTGGACCATGAAGATAAAGGTCATGCCCTAGAGATAGCAAACTGGAAAGCTGAAAGAAGCCTGGGTCCATGACAACTTTGTGGACCTTACCAAACCAGTCCTGGGCTTCTCATCTCTGGGTGTTTTACATGACAGCAACACGTTTAAGCCACTGTTAATTTGGATTTTACAGTACAGTCAAATCAAATCCTAACTGACATGGAATTAATGTATAATTCATATTTTCCTTTGTCTCAAAAGTGAAATATTTATATTATGTGATCTTCCTTGGACACACATAACATAATTTCTGTGAGTGAACTGTTGAACTTTGATTCTTATGCAGTTTTAAGATTGTTCAATCTTATAAAGCTCTAGTTCAATGGAAACGTGAGTACCTGTTTACCAGAACACACACATAAGAGTGTTCATGGCAGAATCCATTTGTAAAAGCAAATTTGGAAACCACTGATGAAAATGGTTAAATAAATTGTAGTACATTCCTGCTATTGAATATTATACCACAGTGAAAATGAACTAACTATAACCATGGCATTATTGATAAACCTTAGGAACATAATATTGAGCCAGAAGAACAAGCCCCAGAAGACAACATATAATATGATAAGTTCAAAACCAAATAAATCTAGCATATTGTTTGGGTCCACATATATGTGTAATAAAATATAAAGAAAAGCAAGGGTATGATAAAATAAAAATTTAAGAAACTGGTTGCTACCAAGGGGAAGTTGGCGGATGATATAGGAGAGGAACGCATCGGCCATGTGAGTCTTGGAGCGTTGAAAGGTGGGTCCATGAGTGGTTTAGTATATTATGATAATACACATAGTATATAGCAGTTAAATGAGGTTTATGTAAGGACCAAAGAACCAATCGTAGTCCTTGATTCATGACACACTATTGACATGAATCAGGACTATGATTAATCCAGTTTTGTGTTTCTGAAGTTCATAAAACAATCTTACCACTTATGAAGCTGCCCATTAGGCAGGCCTGGTTTTATTTCTATAAACCAGGCAACAAGGATGGATGTGTTTCTATTTGTGTATCCAACTGTTTCCCTATCCAGGTTTTTAAAAATAAACATTTAGTTTTAGAACAGTTTTAGATTTATAGAAAAGTTGCAAAGATAGTACAGTTACTGTAAACCACCCCCCAACTCTGTTTTCCCTACTGTTAACATCTTTACTACAGTACATTTGTTCCAATGAATGACTCAATGTTGGTATCTTATTATTAACCCTAACCAGATTTTAAGCTTCCTGAGAGCAGGGCTCATGCATCTTAGCATTCTTTAATATCTTGCCTGTAGTCAGTGTTCCACATGTGTTGAATTGATGAGGAAATTAAAGTTATTAAATGACCAAATTGTCTGCAAAAATAAGCTCCATATTTCATGATCACTTATAATTTGCTTTAAGCAGCTAAAGCTACTTTGAGCTATAACCCGAAGTTGCGTTTAATGTTCTTGAAAGTCATTGTTTTTGAATTATTTACAAGCATTCTCATTAGACTGAGCACAGGGAGCCAAGTGCTGAACTGGGTATTTTTTTTCTTCCCTGGGTTTCTTTTCTAAATCAGGTCACGGAAAATGGATGCTATTTCTTTAAATAATATAACCAAGCTGATCCCTGGATTACAATTAGGTTACGTAACTTGCTTATGAGCTGCTTTTCATTAAGACTTGCAGTGGGCAATGGGGCTTTACATTTCAGAGCAAAGCTGGGAGAACAATCCTGCTAAAAGCCAGAACACATGCAGTGTCCGAGGCAGGGGCTGCAGTAACTTCAGCACGGGATCGAGTTCAACGTAGGCAGCTCCTTTTCTCTTTAAATCCTTAAAACATCCTTTGTCCTACCAAACACCCTGGTTCCAAATACGTCTGAAACATACGTGCTGAGGGCCCACACCGTGAGGCAAGATCGTGGTCGCCGGTCCCCAGGGGGCTGAACAATGAGGAACCCTCCAGGGAGGACATTATCAAATTTCTGCAGAGCCATAGCTCAGTTTCATTTCTTGCAGAACACAAATTACTAGGAAACATTTAAAAAATGTGGCCAAGGGAGGTAACAAATATCCCAGAACCAGCTTCTAACCATTTCTTTGCAAATAAGCACTTCACAGGTACAGGAAGTAAAGTATAAGGTGTCAGATCAGGTGGAAAACAAGAAGCTTGGTGTCAAAGAAATCAAGTCATAAGAGATTCTGGGTGGGGGTTCATCAAAGCATACAAACATCTGTTCTTAAAAATAGAGATAAAGCCAACTTTCCCCCAAAGGAAGTTGTTCATTGCTGTTACACGGGATACTCACTACAGGATGAGAACATTTTTGATACTAATATTAAAACCACCTCACAGAAGATGACAAATGCTGGAAATTCAAGTTTTACGGTTAGAATAAGTGAAGGTAGCAGAGAGTGGGACAAAGCACCCTTGACAATAAATAAACAGGGAAAAGCTCTGTTGGAGAGCCAGCCAGAATAGTCTCGTGGAAAGAAAGGACAATGGAATGCCAAAATTCTACCAAACACAAAATTCTTTTTCGAAATGTAATTACTGCATCATGATTAAAATAGCAATCAGGAACAATTAAATGAACTTGGAGCCCTTCATGCATTTGAAGAAACACCTGTCATTTATTATATGGGAACAGTCAAAAAGATAATTATTTAAGCAGTTAAATGAAAGCTTGTTTCTTAACTTTTGATGAATGTGATCTCTCACAAATTCTCAAAGTCGAGAAGGACGTTTTATTACACAGCTATATAAAATAGCAAAGAGAAATTTTTTTTCTTTTCACTTATAGTCTTAAAAAAATTATGGTGAACTTTACTAATACTTAATATTTATAGTTAACTTTTATAAGTTTTTAAGCTTAAAAGTAAACTTTTAACTATCAATAATATTACCAATGTAAATGTAAACTATATGCTTGAATGCAAAGCAGTTAATTAATCCTAATAGTATTGCACATTAATCTTGGCTTCAACACAGTATAAACTTGCCTAAGCCCTGTTGGTTGCTGAGGAGTCTTTGATT